GCCTTTGCAGCGAGCACAATAGGTACCAGATGAGTCACAGGCACCTTGGATTTTTAGTTTGCATCTAAATAAGCACTTTATATTTGCAAAGGGCTTTCTAGTCATTTGCAAAAAGCTTTCTCCTTCAACAACTCCACCAGGGGAGTCCACGGAACTAAAGATTTATTGAGCCCCCTGTCTGACCAAATAAAAGGTGGTGAAAAGCAGCCCCTCGGAGCTCTGGGCTCATTAAACCAGGCAGGGAGTTAGAGTCAGGCCCTCCCACCCAGGCCAGGCACCCCTTTCCTCCCGCAGTCATTGCGAGCGTTTTCATCGGTTCTACCTGCACCCCCATTTGAAGACAGCGATGACCTTCGAGGGGACTGCCGTTATATTAAGACATTTGCGAACACGAATCCGTAGACTGAGGATTGGAACGTTCTCCGTGTGTGACGAGGTCCTGCTTCCCTCGTCACAGATCCCAAACTGGACCCTGCTCTCCCATCTACCACAGAGTCCTCTCTAAATGGGAAAAAATACGCCCCGTTGTTGACAAAAATTAGGAAGGGGAACTAGGAAGGAAACTTAGGTCACACCAGGAACCTTCCTCTAGAAGTAGAATTTCTTATGTTCTCAGTGAAACCAGGTTATGACACCTAGCAAAGGCTACCGGTCAAGTTGGGGATTCTCCTGCCTCCACCTTCACCAACACCACCGCCCCCCCCCCCCCCCCACGAATGCTGACATTACAGGCTTGTGCCACCAAGCCTGTCCAGTTTCTCCTACAGCAAATGGCTTTGGAGCCTTACTCTGCGTCCCTAGCTGTGAAGTCATACTGACAATTTCAATATCTAAGCGACTTTAGGCCAATCAGTCACCCTTGCCAAACCGACAGTGGGCCACACAAGAAAGTGTTCAACACTTGTCTGATCGATAAATAAATTTAATGTCCTGCCTGACAATCAGGAGGAAGAGAATGACAATCATAAAACCTAAAACCACACAGACATGAACAATCGTGGATCTCTTAGGCTAGCATAATAATGATGGTAATAACAGTAAGAACCGCCTTTTAAATTTTAAATTGTACTAAGAGAAAAAAAACTTCACCAATGTGATCTCATTCAATAGCTGTGAACACAGTCCAGTCCGGCGGGTTTAACCCTCCTGTACGGATGAGAAAATTGAGACAGAAAATTGAAGCCCGCTGTCAAACTGCAAAACTGGATTTCAGACCCCAATCCTGGGCTTTACCACAGTGCACACTGTCTGCATTCGGGTCAGCTGAGTTTTCCACGGGAGAGAGGGCCCAGAGAGGTAGATGCGGAAACACAGCAGAGGAGTGAGACGGGTAATATCCAGGCTTCTTTGGCCAAGCCAGGCCGTGCCTTTTTAGGTGCTTTGGCCTCCCCTTGCCTGCGGTTGGCCTTCAAGAATCTCTCTGAGAAAAAAAACTGAAGCTAAGCAATCTCCCTGGGTGGAAATGCGGGGTCCTCGCAGGGCTCCGGGAATGAAAGGGGGGCGGTTTTCCCGCTCTGCCTCCCCACTGAGCCTGGAGAGCCCCCAGGTGAGCCGTGAACTTCTCACCCCGGCGGAGCTGGCGAAGTTCTTGCTGCATTTTGGTGCCCTCTGGTGGTGGATTCTGGAACAACTTCGAGCTCTTAGCCACCCACCTACGACATGCTGGGGGGGCTCATTTATTCTACGGGCTTGATGGTTTAAAAAGAAGGAAGAAAGTGTAATGTGACAGAGGAAGATTGTAGTCTTGTCTCTCATTTCTTCCCCAAGTGAACAAGAAGCTTTGACAGGATTCTCCCTAATGCAGGCTTTCTTAGACTTGTCTAAGAAGATATATTAGATGTTAAAAATACTCATTTCTGGCTTGCACTTTAAAAGTACCTCAGCGACACCACTAGAGGCATGGCCGAGGAATGTGCATTTTCGCAGCACACCGCACGCGCACGCGCACACACACTCCCCTGAACCCTCCACAATCTCCACACCCCTGTACACTGACAGCAGAATCAAGCTCCTTGGGGGGAGATTCAGTTTCTGGGTATCCACATTGGTCTCCATGGACGAACCAGTGGGCCCCTTTCATATCCCAAACCATTGTACCTGCAAGACTAAGAGAGCTACATGTCTGCTTAAAAGGGAACGGGACCCTTGTGAAAGACACTGACCCTGGAGATAGGAGAGCTGACTGACCGAAGGATCACTCCATTGGGAAACACTGGGTCCATTCTGACTTCCCTGAAGTTACAGTGCCTCTCTCTAAGAACGGAGCCTTGTTCTGTATACGCCCTTGCTGGCTGAACTAATAGACCCTGCACAGCTGATGAGCATACAGCAGGATTAAGACAGCGCGAAGCTCCCGCTAGTGTGCTGGAACTGTCCCGGTGAGGGCTGATCGATCCGTAGCATCCTAGGAATTTTTTGAGTTGGTTATTGAACCTTTGGTGATGGCTTGATGTGAACAGTGGTGGGAATATTTATGCCACAGAAATGAATGAATGTTACAAATTAGGGCTGTGTGTGTGTGTGTGTGTGTGTGTGTGTGTGTGTGTGTGTGTTTGTAGAGAGCCGGTTGGCAGCTGCTTATTAGCTCATATGTAACCTCTTTGGGTTCTAATCTACATCTAAGGACTAATTTTGGTGTGTGATGTTTTTCTTTATTTGCATTTTTAATAATAAAATTTACACAGTAAAAATTAAGTATGGCTGAAAAGGAGGACTGCAAGTGAGCCGGAGTAAGTGGTCTGATCTTCCCGTCCCCAGTCTTCAGTAGCTGCTTGTCCGTGACAGCAGCAGGATTTAAGTCCCAGCCTCTCCTCCGAGGGTCACCACAAACAAGGCCCTAGTGACCACTTTTGACTTGGAGCCCCAGCAGAAAAGACATCCCCAGACTGAGAGGTCTGGAGGACCACCGGGTGAAGCATGCTGTATTCCTGCACAGCCCAGGCAGGGACTCATGGAAGGGCTTGTAATGTGTGCTCCAGAAGAAAGGAATGGGATGCCATGGCCTCCCTTGGAATTGATAGGGACTCTTAAGAGGATTTTGCTAAATCAAGAACTCTATTTCTCCATCTTCAGAAGGAAGCCACCTTTGCCACTGTTGCATTACGAACCAAAGTCAGAGTTAGCTTTCATCTCAAAACTCACAGCAATCTCTACACTGTTCTGTTAGGAACACAGATGTCAACTCTCAAAAACTAGCTGCAAAAGAGGCACAGCTGGAGCACAGGAGATGGGCACACACGAGAAGAACAGAGGCCATCGCCCAACCCCTTCTCATCTTGCTCTTCCTCAGCTCAAGGTTTGAGATGCACAAGACAAATTAAGGAGATTCCTGCCCTAAATCTGGCATCCTTGATCCCCGGAAATTGAAAATACGAAAATTGTTGATCTACACTGAGACCCATACCTAAATTTCCATGGCCTGCCTAGAATTAAAACATTCTTTTAAGAGGAAGGAAACCTCTCATGGTCCCTGAGACAGACAATAGCTTCTTACTTGCTTTGTACATGGATCTGTGGGGAATATTAAGCTATAACATGCTGTGACCTAGTGGCCATCTCTCCTCAGGGGGGGAGACAGGCACCATGATGAGTCAAGACACCTCACTCAGGATGCCAATGCCACTGGTTGGCATAAGTGCAAATTCAAAGTGAGAAGTATCTAGCTGGAGAAGCCCAGGGTGGTTCATCCCAAGCTCAGCTGGGATGCTAGGAAGGCAAGACTGAACTCTCAGGGAGGAGGAAGGATAACAGACTAGACAAAGATTGTGGGAAAGTATCTACCAGGCCAATTTGGCTGGAGCCATGAGTTCATGCCAGGAACCAACATAAGATCATGTTCGCGGAGGGAGTCAAGCTCACGCTGAAGAAAATCAGTTTTGACCTGTGCTTACAAGAGGAGCCAGTGACAGCATATTCATTTACTGCTGTGGTGAAGCAAATGATCGCAAGTTTAGAAATAGAAACCACACCACTTTAGCAGCATGGTTTTCTGTAAGTCAGAACACTGCGCTCGTAGTCGGGGTCTAGGTTTACAAGGCAGAACCCACGTTGTGAGAAGGACCGTGAATCGTCATCCTGACATGTTCTGGTTGTCAGTAGGATTCGGTTCCTTACAAATCTAGCAGTGTGGTTTTTAACTGTCTTGCGGATGTCAGCCAGGGCTTCTCTAGGCATTTTGCCATTCCATGCCAAAGAACCAAGGAGAGCAGTTTGCTCTTTGAGGCAGGATAATTTCTCATGCTTTGAAGCTCTTTGAATTCAGGAACAACCAAGTCTCTTAAGGTTCACCTTATCATCATGGTGGTGAGCATGGTGGCATGCAGGCAGACATGGTGCTGGGGACATAATTGAGAGTCCTGCATCTTGCAGGCAACAGGAAATGGTCTGAGGGTCACACTGAGCAAAGCTTGAGCAGAAGAGACCTTAAAGCCCGCCCCCATAGTGACCCACTTCTTCCAACAAGGTCATACCTACTTCAGAGAAGCCATACTTCCTAATAATGCCAATTCTTTACAAGATTATGGGGACCAATTACATTCAAATGACCACACAGACCAAATACAGAAATATATTTATAGATAGACAGATATTTGTAGATAGATTATATATTATCTATAATAATATAACATAATAATTTAAATATAATAAATTTATCTATTATAAATATCTGTCTATCTATAAATATACTCAGTGCTTCCTGCTGGAATGTTGACATATTTGTTGGCTTGATCTTTTGCAGGTCTGTGCAGGTAATCATAGCTGAAGTAAACTAATACATGCCATGGCCCTATCATGCCCAGATATCAGCATTCCATAGCACTCTTCCCCATCATCCAGCTCTTCCGTTCTTCCTGCTTCGTCTTCTGGGATCAAGCACTTTTCTTAACTCTCTTCAACAATTAACTTTTCTCTTGTCATCTGCTTCAGCATGAGTCACCCTCTACGGACCTCTTTCACCTGGGGTTCCCACCCTGCCTCACCCCTGTCCGTACTCTTTACAGGTACACAGCAGTGGTCATGCCAGTTCACTATCAGCATGGAACCGGGCAGAGCTCCTGTCGGCGTGTGGCACTCATGATTACAGCTGTATGGGTGCTGGCCTTCGCTGTGTCCTGCCCTCTCCTCTTTGGTTTCAACACAACAGGTAAGACTGTTGGCTCCACTTCTGAACTCATAGGGTTCGCATCATACCTGAGTGGTTGTGCGCGGTGTCCTCCCCGGTATTTCCATTCTGTTCTGTGTGATGAAATGGGTGTGCTGTAGTCTGCACAGCATGGGCCTTTGTTGGGTATAAAGTAAGAAGAAAGCAAAACCTCACCAGTTATTGTCACGAAGGTATGGGTTTGACCCAGCACATGAAAAGTCTGTCTCACCCCTATTTTGAAAGAAATGCCATTGTATTCATTGGAAGAAATCTAACATAAATGTAAATAAGACACAAAGCTATATTAATTATTCAAATGAAGTTTGCTAATGAAAAAATAACTACTCATAACCAACCTACAATGCAAGGTATCATAAAGCCTGGAATAAGTTACGTATTTCTAACTTTTTTTCCAGTAAGAATCATTTCTGACATTTGAGAACTAGTTCTGGAAATGCCTATTTTTATTTTAATATGCAAAATTGTGGTTATGATAGCACATGGCTCATCTCCTGGATGGATGGATGGATGGATGGATGGATGGGTAATGATAATATTTGTATCGGAGATGACTTGTATTTTAACCATAAGACATCAATCCACATTTGCACCTCACATGATCTATCTTCTGGGCTCAAGCAATCCATATGTTGAACGAAAACTATTGAAAATGTATGATGAGAGGAAAGGGAAGAGAGAAGTGATATAACTATATTATAATCTCAAAAATAAAAAAATATTTAGAAAGAAACTGTATAGTGAGAGGAAAGAAAAGGGGAAATTTTATAATTATAATCTCAAAATTAAAGAAATAATTTTTAAAAATTTAAAAGAAAATATATAATTATGTACATGTTTGCTAAGAAAAAAAACCCAAAAGAATAGTGTTCCAGAATCATGTAGAATTCTTATTTTCTCCATCTGGATTGGCTCATTCAATTCCTACTAGACTGCAGACTGGTGAAGTCCTGATCTATATGCACTTACTCGTCACAAAGCAATATGTTTATGTACAGGCAAATATTATTGAGACATTGTCATGTGTAAATATAGGAACATTCCAACATGTAAACAATCTTCCAGGCATCGTGCCATGGACAACAATTTTGGAAGTCAGAGCACACTGAGGAAGGCAGGCAGAGGCTCCAGAATCAGGAAGCCCTAGGTGAACTCCAGCTGCCCTATTTACCAGCTGTGCCTCCATCGTGCAGCTGCTGGACCCTTCTGAGCTCAGCTTCCTCACTGATTTAAGACGGTAATATAGTGGGCACAAAGGAACAACTGCAAATGTATATTTAGTCAGCATATTTAGTTACAAAAGTTTCAACACTTACTTTTATAAATGGCTCTCTACATTTAAAAAAAAAAAAGCCCAAAGGTATCATCTCCGAAGCTGCACGTTCCATGTGAGCTTTATAATATATGACATGGTAACATATGTATCCTTATTATTACTGTTCAGAGTTAACAACAAAACTACATGTATCTTAAATGTGACACAGGGGATTTTTCAAAGCAAATTTTAGCATAGTAGAAATTGAATGAAGTAATTTCTAATGGACAAAAGAAGAAATCTAGATTTGATTGGTTTCAGTGCATAATTTTTTAAAATTTATGTACATGAGTGCTTTGCCTGCATGGACGTTTGGTCCTTGAGCCATGTATGTGCCTGATGCTCACAGAGGCTAGGAGAGGGCATAGGATACCCTGGAACTGTGACAGTCATGAGCCACCATCTGAATGGTGGGGAAGGTGTCCAGGTCCTCTGGAAAGCTCTCTTCAGTCCGCAGATATTTCTTATTGTATACGTTAACTCTAAGCTCTGATCCTACATCTTCTGTAACTCCTTCAACAGGAATTGGGATAACATGTGTAGATGTGTCGTGCACATACTACCTTCTCAAGGTCAGTTTTCTTTCTCTGATACATTAAAAGTTAAGAAACCAAGTTATCAACAAATGCTGTCATAATATTTGGTCTGAGTGGTCATTTGAATGCAATTGGCCCCCATAATCTCATAAAGAAGTGGCATTATTAGGAGGTATGGCTTCGCTGAAGTAGGTGTGACCTTGTTGGAGGAAGTGGGTCACTATGGGGCGGACCTTGAGGTCTCTTCTGCTCAAGCTTTGCTTGTGACCTTCAGACCACTTCCTGTTGCCTGCAAGACGTAGGACTCTCAACTACTTCCCCAGCACCATGTCTGCCTGCATGCCACCATGCTCGCCATCATGATGATAATGGACTGAATCTCTAAACTGTAATAAGCAAGCCACCCTCAATTAAATGTTTTCTGAGTTGCCATGGTCATGGTATCTCTTCACAGCAACAGAAACCCTAACTAAGATGGTCTGTTCCCATCTTATTCCTGTGTGCCACTTCTTGACAGAGGCGCTGCTCATCTCCTGGCCTTCAGCCCATGTCACCATTTGCTGTGACTAGTGTAGTTCCCCGGGCTGAGCTTGGTTCCACTACATGTTCTGGGATGTTGGTGAAGGAGGTCCTACTCCCTCTCCCGGGCACACACACATCCTGAGAGTAGCTGAAACCATCTCCAGATCTGACAGTAGACAGAGTTCCCAGCTGATGTCAACAGCACAGGTGAAGAATGATGAGCTAATTGCAGCATGTTGGCGCCAGTGACATCATTATTGTTCTAGAAACAAAACCCAGGAAAATTGTCCCAGGATTGTCAAATTGAGAATCAAAAAAAGACTTTTGACCTAGCTTGTGTGTAGTATAAGACCCCACTGCTTCTCTCAGGGTCTCTCTCTTACTTTGTGCTTTATGCTGTTGTGTGTGTGATGGTTGGTTTTATATTTGGAGGTCATCTTGTCTGTCTGTTTTTGAGATAGAAACTCACTCAGTTACCCAGGAAGGCCTTCAATTTATAATCCATCTGCCGTAGCCTCCTGGGTATCTGAGATTATACACTTCTGCCACCAAGCCAGGCTTTCTCTTATGCCTAAGTTTCTTAGCAATACTGTACTAAACCCTCTAATTATTATCATATTTGTCAAATGCAAAGTCCACTATAAAGACCCAATAGGTATTAGCTGGTGTCACTGCTGTGATTGTGTAATAGAAAGGTTTCTGTGCCTTAAACTGCAACTAACCATCTGCTCCAGGGAAGATATAAACAGTGAAGGTTCTCTAGGTGGTCCCTGGGAAGTCCAGCTATCCCTTCCTAGAACACAGTTCAGGCAATTCTTGAGCAGAGCCCAGGCATAAAGAATCTAAGCCTTGGTCTCTGACACAATCTGACCCTCATGATGTACCTTCATTATCCTGATAGATGTGGCCTGTCTTGGTCGGTATTTTATTACTGTGAAGAGACACCCATGACCATGGCACCTATTATAAAAGAAAGCATTTAATTGGGGCTGGCTTACAATTTCAGAGATTTAGTACATTATCATCCCAGCGGGAAGCACCAGGCAGGTGTGGTGCTGGAGAAGAAGCTAAGAGCTACACCCTGATCTGTAGGCAGAGAGCTGCACACTGAGCCTCGCATGGGCATTTGAAACCTCAGAGGCTTCCCCCAGGGACGGACTTCCTCCAACAAGGCCACACCTCCTAATCTTTTCAAACAGTGACGGAGCATTCAGATATGAGCCTATGTGATGTTCATTTAGAGCATCATAGGGCCCTTCCAGCAACTTCCCCGTTGACAGGTTCATCCGAAAGCCCACTACAAATGACTCTCCTCTGCCAGTTTGTTGACATTCTCTGACAAGTAGAGGCGAAAAGGGCCTCAGGTGTTTCAGTTCCAGCTGATTTGGAGCACAGCTTGACTTCAGGAAATGTAGCAAGGGCGTTTCATTTAAGGCTATGGCTGCCCCTTGAAGTGCAGAACTGGAGACCACAGAGGCAAGCTGAACTTTCAGAGTTCTCTGAGAGCTGCTCCCGATCTTTGAAGGGGGGTGGGGGCAGCAGGAAGCAGGATCTTGGGTGGGGGAGAGTTCAAGAACTGCAGGGACTGGCTGACTGGTAGTGCCCCAGCTTCACCAGAGGCCTAGAAGTTCGGTCAATCAAATCAACAGCCCCTAACGATGCAGAGGAAGGTGTGTGTTGGAGCAAGAGGACAACCCTAAAGATCTCCGAATGAGCTCAAGCAAGTCCTTTCATTTCACAGATAAGAAAAACAGTATTTGAATTTCTGTTAAATCAGATACCCATTGTATGGTTTTCAAAAGAGAGTTCGAGAATGAATAAGCAATAACCAGTGATCAGATTTAAGAATTCTTCTGGGTAAGGGACTCAGAGTTAAGAAAATCTTATCAACTGGCTTGATTTTCCTTTAGAAAGGAAGAAAATTGTTATTTATTTGATTTTAGCAATAGAAATGTCACTTAGCTTTCAGAACACTGGAGACAGGGGAACGTGGCTGCTCCAAAGTTAGAAAGAAGAATAAAAGCACAGTGTTTGAAGGAGAGTGACTCATCCTAAATCAGACTCATCAGCTTCTCCTGTCTTCGCAATTGAAGTGAGGTCAAATTCTTCAACAAGTCTAAAGTTCATCAGTCTTTCAAGTCAACCTTCTCTCGACCTTGCTGTTCACATTACAAGTGCTCAGCCTGGCTCACAGAGGCCTCCAGGGCTCAGCCTGGCTCACAGAGGCCTCCAAGCTCCCCTTGTTACAGCTGTTTGTTGCTTTGTGTGTGTATGTAGTAGGTGTGTATATGTGTGATGTATGTGTATGTGGTGTGTTGTGTGTATGTGGATATGGTATGTGTATGTGGTGTGTTGTGTGTATGTGTATATGGTATGTGTATGTGTGCATGGTGTGGTGTGTGTGTGTGTGGTATGTGTTTTGTGTACTATGCATGGTTTATGTGTAATATATGGTGTGGTGTGTATATGTATGGTATGTATGTATATGTGGTACATGTGTATGTGTATGTGGTATGTGTGGTGTGGTATATGGTTTGCAGTGTGTGTGTGTGTATATGTGGTGTGTATGGTGTGTGTGGTGTGGTGTATGGTTTCTGCAGTGTGTGTGTATGTGGTATGGTGTGTGTCGCATATGTGTATAAAGGGCTGACGTTTAATTCAGGGTCTTCCTGTGTTGCTGTCCACCTTCTTTTTTGAGTCAGGATCTCTCACTGAATCTGGAGCTCCCTGATTTGGCTAGACCAGCTGGACAGTGAGTCTCAGAGATCCCCCATGCGCACCCCCACTCCCTCCACAAGTACTGGGGATACAGGCATGCTTGTCTTCATGCATGCACGCTGGGGATCCAGATTCACATCCACGTGCTTGCACAGCGACACTCCACGCACTCAGCCATCTTCCCAGCGCCCTCTTTAGTACCTTACTGCCCAGCACAGGAACTCCGAACCTAGCAGGTCCTCCATAAAGCTGAGCGAGTAAATGTGTCTTTGCCCTCACCCTGCCTTTTTTCTTTCTCTAATTTTATAAGGTGATATTAGAGCCTCCCCATGCCTATCTGGCCTTGCCCCAGCATCCTATAGTCACGGATGCTTAGGTGCCTGGATAAAACGCTCCTTTGTACATTTTCCTTATTTGTTTTCCTCTTTCGCATCTCCATTCAGTATCTACCAGACTCCCACACAGCACTGATTTAGATCAATCATCCGACAAAGGCGCCCGCCGTGTCTCCTGAGGGGGCCTCAGCTGCCCACAGCACCTCCTGAGGACTCAACAGAGAAGCCTTCAGGCCTGCTGTGGCAGGAGGCCTCCCACTGCCCTGATGACTGCATGCCCACTCCCAGCACGCATCGGCAGCTGACTCCAGTGTCTCCCTGCCCGCTGTGCAGCCAAGAGACCACATAGCGCGGTGGGAGGGCTTCTGGCAGAGGCTGCAAAGCTTGGTCAGAGTGTAGGCAGCGGTAGACTTCAGCGGAAGTAAGTCATGACAGCGGAAGGGATGCCGAGGCAAGTTCAGTGACTGAAAGTGAGACCCTCAAGGCCAATGACCCTGAAATAGCTCCTGGCTCCAGCTTCATTCTCTCTTTCCTCCACGTACACAGTTGCAATGTTTTTAATGGAAAAATAAATGCTTGCATGTGATAAAACATTCATAAGGTGTAATGAGATACACACAGACTTCCATCTGTGTCAGAGTGCCTCCTACCCCAGATTGTCAGGGCCTCCACCACCTCCCCTGCAGCAAACACTAATATTCTGAAGGACATTGCTTGTAACAAGTACACCTATATGTGTGTGTGTGTGTGTGTGTGTGTGTATGTATGTGTGTGTTTGAGACAGAGAAACATACTATACCTCCTTTTGACTCTGTTATTTTCAAGAATAGTTCATTCTCCTGGTAGCAAGGGGCATAGAAAAAGGGAGAGACTGTGTGCATGGGGACAAAGGAGGAACTCAGCTCAGCAAGGCCAGCAGTGAGCTAAATCTTGGGAAAGTAAGTCCTCTGGCCCTGCTTACTAACAAATGTTGAGACTCCTCCTCACCACAGGTGGCACTGAGATCTGGGCCAGCCAGTGACAGCAGGCGAGCTGACTTCGATGGCAGGGCTGATCACGACTATGTGGCTCCCTAAAGTCTGGGAAGGCCCACCAGCTGCCACCCCATGCCTGCCCCCAACTTCATTGTCCCCAGAACAGAAGATGTCGGTTGGGTGATCACTACTCTGGGCCATATGTGCTGATTGCAAAGGGATGCTGATGCAAAGTCTGGTGAGATAGCATCAATTTCATCCATCTCCAACAGAAGGAGAGGATTGGGGGGAGGTCTGTGAGCATTCTGGGCCAGGCTGTTACTAAATGCCTCCCTGTCAGAGACCAGCTTCAACAGAAATACCACTTGCCAGGGTAGGGGCATGGGATTAGAAAAATAAGTAAAGTGTACAAAGATGTGAGTAAAAATAATAAGACAGAAACATAGGATAGTACCAGGAGGGAGTTCCAATGAATATTGAAATCTCTGCATTTAATTTTCCATGCCCTTTTAAACCCAATACAAAAGGGGAAGAAGGCAACAAGAGACTTCTTTAACATGATGCAAAGGACAACTCGAACAGTTAATTGCTTCAACACTTTGAGGCATCAAGTCATTAGCATTCTGGTGTGTAGGCAGCAAAGCCACCCTAGACCAGGTATCCTAAAGGCAGCCACTCCCCAGGTTAAACCTCCTGATACAAAAGAAGGAGCAGAAATATTCTTGCATATGCTGACCATCTGTCAGGATGGAGTGGAGCTACCTGTATGGGCTATCTTAATGTCAAAAGAACCAAGTAACCACATTCTGAGTCAGGATGTGTAGCCCTGGTTGTTGTCAACAATTTTGAGCAACCTCAAACTCTCTGACCTTCAGACAAGGTGGAAATAGGTTCACATTTTTGGGCCTCCATGCCTCCCTGGGTCCTCTTTCTTTTCATTTGGTTCTCTCTTTCTCTCTTCCCTTCCCCACAAATGCTGTCTTTCTCCAGACTTTTATTTCAATCGATACTTCTTGTCTTAGGTCCAAAAAACTCAGAAGTAAACAACAATGATATAACAATTAAAAAATGATAATAATCATAGCAATCATTATCCCCATTATTTCTCATTGCTATTATGCAAGCAATACTTTTATCCTTTTGCGAATGATCAAGCTAAAGCTGGGTGCCTCAGGCGACAATGCCAAGAGCACATAGCTAAAAAGCAGCCGCTCCGTGTCTTGCACCAGGCCATTTCAGATGACCAAGAGGCAGAGCACCAAGTAGCCATTGCCCTCTCTGCCATCTCACGTCTCAGGCCTTGTCTCCCAAGGTCAGATTTGGGCCTGCGCTGCCACTCTTGCGTGAAGATTGGAACAGTTGTGCCAACAGCTATTGCTAATAATGTAGATTGAGGCACAGAAGTGTCCTGGGAGTGGAAGGAGGTGGAAAGTAGAAGGAAGGTTGGTTTGGGGTCAGGCTGGCTAGAGAAAAGTATGTTTTGGGCTTTGTTGCCTTAGACCACTTAGTTTGTTGCCTTAGACCACTTAGTAAACCTTCCTTAACTCAGTCAGTGTATCTAAGGATAGAGATAGTAATGTCCCCTCCCATTGTGCTTGGGTAAGATCATGTTTATGAAGCCTTTGCTCTATTGCCTGAAAGATGTTAGCTTGCTTCCCTTCTCCGTTTCAGGATGGAGCAAGTCTCTGGCCTGAGTCTGGGTACTGGTTGACTCTCCACATCTTCTAGTGAAGAAGGCAAAACCATAGGGCTTTCCAAAGAGAAGTCCAAGTGGCACTCTGGTCCAAAAATTAGGAGCAAGAACTCTTTATTTTTATCTTTATGTGTATGTATGAACACCAGCATGTAAGTATCTGCATAGTATTAGTCACAACGACCAGGAAAAAGTGTTGGATTCCCTAGAACTGGAGTTACAGGTGGTGGTGAGCTGCCATGTGGGTGCTCAAAAATGAACCCGAATCCTTTCAGAAGCGGCAAAGGCTCCTAACAACTGAGCCATCTCACAGCTCAGGGGAATAGGAACCCTTTTGAGTTCAGTCTCCTTCCCAGATCTCTTTCCTTTCAAGGCTGGGATTCCCTGATTCCTGTCTTCTCTTCCAATCACCACCTACCCCACACCTTGGATTCAGAAGAAGCTTTTCCCTGTCATTGGGTTTGGCCATCTGTTCTTGCCTCCACACCAGCCAACTCTTTCCTAGGTGTGCCTCCCAGAAGCCTCTGCTCTCCTGTTCTGTGGTTCTCTTTATCTCCCAGGCTACATTCCTGTGAGTTACAGCTGACCATTTGCATGGAAGAGATCGTCTGTCTAGCTAGACTATTTGCTCCTTCAAGGGCAGACACCATGTCTTATCCATAATCACAGCCTCCATTCAGGTCAGTGTCTGGAATATAATCACTGGGAAATTTTCTTCTGAAGCCCACTGTGAGAAGTCCGAAGATGAATTAGCTTTCTTCCTTCAGAATACTGAAACACTGACAGCAGGCGTGCCTGAAACCATGCCTTCCTATCCACACCCCCACATCACATCTCGCTCAGCACCCCATACTGAAGAAGAACATTTGGATAACGGTGTCAACTTCTCCCCTTCTCTCACCCACAGGGGACCCCAGCATCTGCTCCATCTCCAACCCTGATTTTGTCATCTACTCTTCAGTGGTGTCCTTCTACGTTCCCTTTGGAGTGACAGTCCTGGTCTATGCCAGGATCTACATGGTGCTGAGACAGAGGAGACGGAAACGGATCCTCACTCGACAGAATAGTCAGTGTATTAGCATCAGGCCTGGATTCCCGCAGCAGGTAAGCACCTGGCAGGAACTAGCGGACAGCACACCAGCTCCCAGCTTCCAGTCACATGCCCATCCATGCAGGCGGTGCCAGGATCAGCACATAGGAGACAGATTCGCATCACCTTCTACTCAGCTGGCGTTCTCTGTGATTGATGGGTGGGAGAGCCAATACTGAGAGTATACCGGGTCTTCCTAGATCTCCCTTACTTGGTAAGCTGATAGCATACTTTCTAGATTGTTCCACTTCTCTCTGTGGTGGTAGAGCAGCAGCAGTTCAGATGTCCTACAAGGTTTGATTTTTACTGAACTGGGATGGGGGCAGGGTAGCATTTCACTGTACTGTACCATGCACTGTTTGCCCAGGGCTTTTTTGTTTTCCTCCTGAAACCACTCATTCCAAGAATTGTCCACTGATGCTTATCTTCCTGATCTGTCCCTGTGTCGAGGCCCTGAGCAGCTGGTGGGTCTCTCTAGACTCTACAAAGGATGTAGAGTACCTCAGCACTGATCTTTAGTCCCTGCATTTTAGATTTTGCTCACATTACTGCCTGGCATATGGTGGCCTCCCTGACATGAATACCAATCTCTTCCAACCAGCTAGCATAAGGACCATTATATCAAATGGCCACTGTCTTCATGGAACTCGGAATCTGGACATGAAAATAGACCTCACCTCCACTCAAAAAAGCAATGAAACACTCCGAACTGACTAGGATGTTTGCCTGATGTGAAGTGAAAGCAATAAAGTGCCAAATAGAAAGTACACTGGACATTAAGAAAAGACCAATGTGCTCAAGACAGGGTTTCCTGGGGAGAGAAGGAACTGGGTTTACTCTTAAAGACAGAACTAGTTTGAGTGTCTAGTGCTGTCTCTGGTGACCTGTGTAGAGGTCAGACTCTCAAAGTCCTAGGACTTAAATAGAAAAAGGTTATTGGTTTCCATGAAATAGGAGACCATGACCTAAGGCTTAAGATACAAGCATAGTGCATTCCAAGTACTGCCATGCTACAAAATTGCATATGATATGGTTCAGTTTTGTAGAGATTATCCCACAACTGATTGTTTCTCCTTCAAACACCCCAGTCTTCCTGTCTGCGGCTCCATCCCATTCGGCAGTTTTCAATAAGGGCCAGGTTTCTGTCAGATGCCACGGGACAAATGGTGAGTTGGCCTTGTCTTGGATCAAGGGAAAAGAGTGAGAGATCTTTTCACTAAGATGTTGTTTTGTCTGGATCTCATTCCTACCACAAGGTGGAATGTCTCACTGACCTCACACATGTATTTGTAATGCATGCCAAGATCCCAGAGTCTGTGTGATTAAGGTCTCGGAATGGGTTCCATCCAGTGGCATTCAGAAATCATGGAACTAGTGGCATAGATCTCAGTGACTAGCGTCGATAACTTTCAGATGTGGTGTGAGGATGCCATCTAGAGACACCTGCAGTAGAGGGAACCAGGTGTCAGTGAAACGGACACATAGGAAGAGCCAGAGAAAGAAAAGTTTCAAGTTACTGACTGTGTACAAAACCGTGACAATTTCATGGTCCCCCTAAGCCTTGTCTTTCCAATTCAAGTCAGTTCTTGGCATGGCTCACTAGCATGGTGCGGAGAAGAACCTAAAGGTGTCAAATGCAAGACCAGGGTTCCTCTGCCCGAACTCACATTCGAAACTAAACTTGAAAAACAGATAATGATGAAGAGCTGAGTCTTGTCCAGTCTCTCTCTAATTAATTAACAGCTCTGTGCACAGGCCTGATGTAGCAATTAGAGACTCTTGCTGAAAATGAGAACAGATAGAGAAGCAGTTTAAAATCGACATGACAGATTCATGGTCTGAGGAGATGCCAAGGCTGAAGGAGAAGTGTTGACTTCACAGGAAGGATTGGAGAGTCATGAGGCTGCATTGCCAAGAGTGTGGAGAATTAGGTTCTGTCCTACCATCTGGGAATGGAAGTCTCCCTGCCAGCCAGCCATCTACACAGAAATCCGTGTTTCCCACATCAGCTATGGAGGTAGGGCTAAAGATTTACAGAACAAACTGAAAAACACCGTCACCAGCATAGAGTCTCGGAAGAGTCACTTTCTTCCTGTAGGACAGAATATTCACATTGGTGACATGGAATGGGATGTTCTTCAGTTCTATAGACACTGCCAAGATCTAATCCCCCAATGCCAACTAGAACACCAACAAGTAACTTTCAGAAGAAATACACTAGAAGTTAAATAGTGTGATTTTCAGATAATGGGTGCCAGTTTAATCATAAATATTGTCTTGATTATAGATTGACTTCATATAATATAGTCATATTAATTAGGAAATTAATTAGGAAATTTTATCAAAATAAAAAAAAACTGTTCTGAAATCTCCAACTTGAAGACTTATGTGTAAATCTCCCCTTGTCTGGGCTTGGTTCACATACCAATGCTGCTAGTTTAGTGGAGAGATGGGAGAGAGGAAGGGTAAAGAAGGAATAGCTGGCTTTATGACCTTTGTAGTAGGAGTTGCGGAATCCTATTTCCTACTGAAGATTGACACAAGTGTCTAATCTTTCAAATATGGAAAGTTCAAATGTCAAACACATACATTTTGACCCCCTTCTCCAGGCAAAAATATCACACAAAAAAAATCACATTCTATTTTTTCCTAGGTTTTTCTTTTCTATCTTACATTGAAGCTTAGAGACAGTTAGCTAACATCCTGAAGGGTAACATTTACTAAGTTGAAAAGTTATGATACAAATCTTAGGATTTTTTTCTCCCCCTTTTAAATATTGATATTTAAACTTCCAAAAATAAAAGTATGGCACATACCTATAACCCAAGTATTTGGGAGCTGGAGGCAGGAAACTTCATGGCAAATTCAATGCCAGCCTGGGCTATATGATACCCAATCTTAGAACAAAGTGGTATTAAATATTAAAAAAAAATTTAAATGAAAAGCCAAAAAAAAATCCAGAGTCAGCATCAGCTAGCTTCAGCAGTTATCAATTTGTGACCAACCTTATTTCATCTGTGTTCCAACCTACAAACACACACACCCTAAGAGTCAAATCCCCAGACTAGAGAGATGGCTCAGTGGTTAAGACCCTGGTTCAACTCCCAGCATCCACATGGCAGCTCACAACTGTCTGTAACTCCAGTTCCAGGGTGTCTGCTCACACAGAGAACATACAGGCAAAACACCAGTTCACAGTAAATATATACATACATACATAAATCTTTTTTAAAAAGAATCAAATCCCAGCCGGGCGGTGGTGGCGCACGCCTTTAATCCCAGCACTTGGGAGGCAGGCGGATCTCTGTGAATTCGAGACCAGCCTGGTCTACAAGAGCTAGTTCCAGGACAGGCTCCAAAAAACCACACAGAAACCCTGTCTTGAAAAACCAAAAAAAAAAAAAAAAAAAAAAAAAAAAAAAAAAAGAATCAAATCCCAAGTATCTAAGTCCCATACATTTACATCTCATGGGTGCCTCTTACTGCAATTTGTTTGTTTAAGAACTCAAAGCATTTGTCTTGTAGGGTTCCCCACCTTCCAGATTTTGCTGACTACATCCCAGTGATGATGGCAGTTAATATGTTAATTGCTATAGCCAGGTCTTTCAGACTCAGAAAGGCAAGACTGCAGTGCTAGGGTGCCTTCCTCATGGGTTGCTATGGTGATGGAATATTTCCTGTGGGGTTGCTGCTTTCCAGTTGTAAAGTCAGAGATGGATTTCATGTCCCTAACTTCCCATGGTCCTGCCCTGCCCCTGTAGGATGTACACAAGGAGGGTATCCTCTTTTTTCTTTTCATTATCTTTCCGTTTCAGGAACACATAGAAGACAAACAATATCCCCAGAAATGCCAGGACCCTCTCTTGTCACACCTGCAGCCCCTCTCTCCTGGCCAGACACACGGCGAGCTGAAGCGCTACTACAGCATCTGCCAAGACACTGCCTTGAGGCACCCGGGCTTTCAAGAAGGAGGAGGAGGGATGAGCCAGGTGGAGAGGACTCGGAACTCCTTGAGCCCCACCATGGCACCCAAGCTCAGCTTAGAGGTTCGAAAACTCAGCAATGGCAGGTTATCCACATCCCTGAAGCTGGGGCCCCTGCAGCCTAGGGGAGTGCCACTTCGAGAGAAGAAGGCCACCCAGATGGTGGCCATTGTGCTTGGTAAGTCCGAGTTGCTAATTTGGTTCGGGTTACATGGTTCGTTGAAGCTAGTGCTGGATGCTGCAGTGGGGCAATCATAGCTGCATTTTAAAAACATTGGAAATTCAAGTATAAATATCTATATCACAACTGAAAAGATTTCTGTATGAATATTAACTCTTATGAAAACTCAAAAAGACCGAAATGAAATTTATGAAGTCACTTAATTTAGGTTATCATATAGAATGATGATGTATAAATTGAGTGATAATGGTTCAACGAAAGTGTCTAGCATGCATTGGGTATTTAATAAATATTTCCTTATTTTAAAATATAAATGAGAAAATAAGAAGGCAAAACTCGTCTGTCGTATGATATGATGATACCTAGATCATCTTAGATAAGGAAAAAAAGAACAAAATAGATCCATCAAGACGTCAAACGTGATTATCTTTGAGTAGTGGGTGGTTCTTTCCTTTCTGTGTTCCTGTATTTATCAAGTTTTCTACTATGTATATGGCCTGTTTTCAATTTTATAGTAAAAAAAAGCCTTAAATTCTAACATCTAATTAATTAATGTTTGGTAAATCACAGATGCCACATAGCATTAGTGAAAGAAAAGGCGAATCAATGAATGGAAGCCAAGCTAAGCAAACAGAAAGTGGAAGGCATATAGAATTCCCAGCATGGTGCCCAGTAGCACCCAGAGATGGCTTACGGGCTGTTTTCATACGGAGGAAAGTGGCGAGCAAACCCTTCACCCGCATTCTTTTTCTTTGCCACCCAGGAGCCTTCATTGTCTGCTGGCTGCCCTTCTTCCTGACTCATGTTCTCATTACTCACTGCCAGGCATGCCATGTGTCCCCGGCGCTTTACAGAGCCACAACATGGCTAGGCTATGTGAACAGTGCCCTTAACCCTGTCATCTATACCACCTTCAACGTGGAGTTCCGCAAAGCCTTCCTCAAGATCCTGTCCTGCTGAGGGAGGAGAGGCCACACTTCCTTTACCCACTTCAAGATGTCAGGTGGTTGGATCCCTGCCCACCAGGGTCTGCCTGAAATGACTACACTGTGTTCTGGCGTGTGTGGTATGAAGAATTGGGAAGCAGGACAGCCCTGGTTAGGAATGACCAACTGTTTTATTCCGCAATTGAATGGTCTACCTCCCCAGCTTACATCTGACTTCATTCTGCCAGGCTTCAGATTGCTAAGTGCTGGGTAATAACTCAGAGAGATATTGGTAAGAAGTGTATGGGACACACACAGAGAATTGTCACTGGAGACATGATGCATTGGAGTGAAAAAAAAAATGAACAGGTCTCGGCAGTCTCACCCTGCCAGGGGTCCTTGAAATCACAGCCAGGAAGCCAGCCATCTCGTAGACAGTCAGTTTTTCTTCTTTCAGACCCATAATTAACTGTCAGCACAGTTAACCTTGTGCATCCATGGGACCCATTCGCTGTTTTCCTTCACTCTATCTTGAAACACGAAAGGCAAGGCCAATGTTTAAACCTTTCTGTAGGATGGAATTGGCTGCATTTGGTGAGGGTCTGCTCACCCAGAGCAGACACTGTCCCCCATTGGGACTCGGGTTTGTTCCACCCTTACTGCCCTAACATTACCTGTTAGCTCTGGCTTGGGGTGGGGGTCCTATGCTTTATTCCCTGACTATCTCAAGACAATTGTAATGTCTTGATTTCTGGAATCATTCAAGACAAGACGGTTAAAGAAGGTAAGTCAGTTTCCTCTGCAGTGTCATGGCTGAGCTTTGTGGTCTAGAAAGTGCCTTCTGTATGCTATCCATCACTAGGTTTTCCTAGTCAGAGACTTCCATCTGCTGGACAGAGGCCCAAAGCCTTCACGTGTTGATAGCCACCAAGTGTGCGGAAAGTGCTAGCCACCTCCCAGGTTCTGAATAGATGACTATGACCAAGGCAGTCTCTTCTCAAAGACTTTACTCTCCCCTGGGCTGACGTTTGCCCATGTGTGGTAGTGACTTGCCTAGACTTGCGAAGGCCCTCGGAACTGAGGGTGCTAGGGGACAGCCACCCCAAGTCATCACATGATGATCTATAAAACCCAAGTCAGATCTTAGCCACGACTCTAACAACTGTGTTCAGAACATAACAGAAACCGGGTGTGGGGACTCAAGGAACGAAACCACCAGAAATAATAGGTAAATGGCATTCAAAATTGCATTTAGATGGAGCTGTAATATATACATCATTTACCTTCGCACCTACAGAGCTTTTTATTGATTTCAGAATCAAGGTCAAATTAATAGATAATTTATGAAATGCTGTCAGCCTGAACTTCAGTAAATTTACCTTTCCGAGCATTAGTATATAGCATGATAGCGGCTGGCTGGCGTGCTGTTAAAACTTTAAAGAGCCCAAGAACTTCACAGAGGATTCAAGGCCTCACCCACCCCAGCCTTATTTGTCTGACCCTAATGAGTTAGTTGCCTGATAGTCATGGATGCTTTGGTGCCAGCACTTCAAAGTCTTATTAGCTATAATATTTGCTACTGTGACACAGTGTGAGAACCCAAATCCTCTCTGTTCACTGCCTCTTATATTGAGTGCCATAAAGTATGATTGGTTTTTGTTACAGGCAAAGCCGATTACTGGACACTTAAATCTGCAAAAAATAAAGGTTGATGATTTCTAAATTTCCCCATTCAAAATAAATAAAAACAGATTAACCTGTGGGGTAAAATATTATAGAGTTCTATGTAAAAATAATCAGAATCTAGAGGCCGAAGTATAAGCATTGGTATCAATACCCTTGTGAGGAAGAATGACAGCAGTTAATTTTTTTATTCCATTTTATTTTATGCATATAAGAGTTTTGCCTGCCTGTATGTATGTGTGCCACATGCAAGCCTGGTGTCTGCAGAGGTCAGAAGAGGTCCTTGGATCACCTGGAACTGGAGCTGCCATTTTGGAACTAAGAACTAAACCCAGGTCTTCTGGAAGAGGGGCAAGTGCTCTTAATCACTGAGCCATTCTGCCAGTCCCTTTTACCTTTTCTTGGTATCAGATAACTAACATTTACAATAACCTTAGGTAAGATGACTTTATTTTATAGATGAAGATACTGAGACAGAGGGAGGTTAGACACTTGCCCTCAGCTCATACACTGTCAATAAGTGGCAGGGATTTGAATGTGCATGCCTGATTTCCATGCTGGGACATGGCTTCCTGCCCTAGAGGAGAGGGGAAGAGATCCTAAGATGAACTTAACCCTACCCCACCAACCATCTACTGTATCCAAATAACTTTCCTACATTTTAAAACTATGTCTCAACTCTGACAGTATTTGTCCATGAAACCATCTCAAAGCTGAATTGGGGGCTATTAAACACGATGAGTCCTATTTTTTTATAGATGACGAGCAGGTATAAGCACTGTGCACATAAATTGTCTCCCCAGTAGACTATAAGCTTCTTGTGGGACATAGAGCCACAGTACTTAGCCAAGTACCTCAACTTCCTGGAACCCAGCCTAAGATATTGGTTTCATTCTCCTGCCATGTTTAAGGCTTAAAGCAATAACATAGACAATCCACACTCTCTAGAGATCAATTGGTTCTGCATTCTCCTTCACTTACATAAAAAAGAACCAAGGCTTGGAACTGTGGCCCAAGTTGATTAATGAGAGCCAGTTGTACCGAATCCCAGCTCCTTGTTCATTCCACTTTTCCACATCCCCGAAAGGACTTGTAAGAACTTTTAGCTCCATATGGATACAATGTAAAGTTATGCCGTCACTTCTACCATTACGCTGCAAAGCTCCTATTGGCTCCACAGTCTCTGTACAATTGACTCTATTAGTCTGTACAGTGTCTATGTCCCAGAATTTTTTGGTCTGGTCCAGAAAGAACTTCTAAGAGAAATCCCAAGCATACATCCAAAGTTCTCACTGTGTCCTCTTCATCGTAATACCCTCTTGCTGCTCCTCTCTTCCTCCCCACTATGAGCCAACACCTTCAATCTTAGGGCTTATTATTTTCATTGCCAACATGGCCACAAGACTCAGAAGAATGTTGGACCGAACAAATCAGGGCATAGTTCTTGGGGAAACCTCTTCCAGAACCCAAAGAAATAGCATTCTTTCCCAAACTGAGTAAACTACAAACAGTACAGAAATCAGCATATTCCAGTCAACATTCAACTCAGGGCCATAAGCAAACAGTTCCCTCTTCTAGGCATCATCCTTTAATATTTCCTTACTCATTTTCTTAAATCAACCACTTATTAGATAAGTACAAGTTTCTCACTTTATGTATCAGGCACTGGACTGGGCGCCAAGAAACACGTTACAGGAAGGCATAGTCTTTGCCCCGCCTCCTCAAGAAGCCTCTAGTCTAGTAAGGAGGTTATTTATGTACACAGTGCTTACCTGCTTATTGTCTATTTAAAAAAAAAACAGGATTATAGGTGTTTAGTAACTCCAAATTCAGTTTTGAGATGACTTCCTTGACAAATTCTATTAGAATCGAGATGATTTTAAAATGTAGAAAAGGTATTTCAGAAAGAGTAGTCCCCCGGAACACTAAAAATCAGAACAAGCAAAGATCATTGAAGCAATCAGAAATAACAATGTCTGACTATAGAAATGATGCAGTAGGGATGGGATGTGTCCCTCCATCATTTCTCAGTATCTCTTATAGCTCTGGATCAAGTGGCAGCCGAGCTGATGGTACCACTTGTCACAGAAGACATCTAGAACTTGGACCCTAGATCCCCATGTGTGCTGCACACCCTGTGGAGAGTCCACCACTGATTTGGGTGCCTATTCCCTCTGTGCTACCCTAGGTTTCAGCAAAATCAGGCTTTAATCTGAATTCTTGTATCTTCACTCTGAAGGAGAGGGGATGCCTAGTTGAATGGACTTGATATCAGAAAGTGTTCTCATTAGGCAACTCAGAGGCTGGATCGGAAATCAAGGGAGGTCAGTCAAAGAGATTTGTTTTTGTGAATGCTTGGGTCAGAAACACACGGAGAGAGGCAGAGAGGTTAAGAGTGTCATTTACAAATAGTTATTTGCTGGAGATCCTGGCTCCCAGGTCTGTGCTCTTCATTTGGTATCTGGTGACATTAGACGACTGGAAAGGCTTAATTTGAATCAATACACAGGGAGCACAGAAGAGATGACAGGCAATTAACTTGATTCCTCCATTCTACCTAATTGTCTACTCATCGGCTGAGGAAGCAAGTGAGTTGCCATGACTACCTCCTGACACAAAGACTCAGTGCAGGTGATGCCATTGTCAGCTCATCTCTGTGGCACATGTTGGCAGAGGCAGAACCCGAGAGTCCAGGCCAAGCACAAGACCTAGGACCGCTCATTTCCTCGAGCCTCACCTCAATTAATCGTCTTCCCCACCATTGCGCAGATTTTCTGCTTTGTGGAAAGTCTGGCTCCTGGCAGGAGAAACTGCAGACTTCTGAGGATGTCCGTGCCCCCAGGTGGAAGCAGAGATGACTCCATGTTGGCTCTAACCCTCTCATGGGAAACAGTGTTCAGACATGAGTCGTGGGCTGAACTTCTAGGGCTAGCATGGACACATAGCTTCAGGCAAGTGCTTTAACCTCTGAGCTTCACTTTACGCATGAGAAAAATGGAGACCTGAAGTCCTAGTCTTTTTTAGGAAACCATATGAAGATAAAATCACCAGCTAGTAGTTCCCTTTGTCTATGCCTGTTGCTATAGCAAAAACCTGCAGACAGGATCATTTACAAATGATAGAAATTTATCTTCCCACAGTTCCTAAGGTTGGAATATCTAAGATCAAGGCACCAGCAAATTTGTTGTCTGGGTGGGCTCAGTATCTGTGTCTAAGATAGTGTGTCTAAGGTGTGGTGGGGAAGGGCCACTCTAGTTCCCTCTGGTCCGTTTGTAAGACATTAATTCCATTTGTAGGGGCAGAACCCTCGTGGCCTCGTTTCCTTTTGAACACCTTACTACTATTACTGGT